TTCTGTCACATGGCTGCGCTGCCACTTTAGCACACAGAGTAATTGGAAGAAATAGTTTCTTCTTTCAACACTGAGAAAAATATCCACAAGCCAAAATCCAGACTTCCCACAGGGACTTCGCCTGATGAGGATTCCCAGGAAACACCAGGGTCCTGATTCCTGGTATTCAGCTGTAAGCGCGCTCTGATGAGTGCTTTGTTAATTTGTTTGTGGTGGAGTAAGCCGACACACAATGGCATAATGGCAGTTTTGTCAGGTTTGTTTGCTTCTCTGATGGTTCCCAGTCTCCACTTTGAAAACTTCAGCGATGCCGCAAACAAACTCTGGATCCTGCAGACTGTTTTGCTTTCATTGTTTAAACTTCTGCTCATGATGGATTAGCGGAAACAACGCTCTTGGGAAACCAGGGAATCTTACAGGGATCCACGTTTAGCAGATATAAAACACGAGTCTCGTTTGTTCCAGCCTCACATGCCGTTTAACAGTTTTTTTAAAGGGTTTAGCATGATTGGTTTTCCGGGAACTGCGGAGGGTTGTTGACCTCAAACTTGTCAGTTCATCGACTGAAGTTTCGAGGACTGGCTCTGAATTCCTTCCTTTAAATGAGGCAAAATCATGAGAAATGAGCACCATAAGTGGAAGTTCTCTTTTAGCAGTAAAGCCAGGCCGTGCTGCTGACTGACAGAGATTAAAGTCGTGGTCATTCAAGATGTCTCCACGCAGTTATCAGAGAGACAGACAAAAAGAAACTGTTTTACATAAAGCTGCATGTAATTTTTAGTCACTCTAAGAGGGCAGTAGAAAATTTAGCTCATTTATAGTTCGGAAATATAATTCATTGATTTGTTCAGTGTAGTCAAAAAGTTTACCTTAAGTTGTTTTGCTCAGCAAGGCTAAAAGAATTATAGTCAGGTTTGTGCTCAAAAGATCAGCGTTGCTGCTTCACCAGGTGTAACAATTAAGTTTAACATCCAGGCATCCATGAAAACAGGATTTATGGAATTTAACGGAGTTAGAAGTTAGCAGGAAGTTAGCTTGCTAGCTTCCATCTAAACATGATATAGCATGTTCTGACGGAGAGATTTCTGAAAAAATTAAGACGTACAGCTCTGCTATCACTTCCAACATAAATGAAGACAGAAAACTAAACAGCAGTGACGTTTGTAGGGTTACTGAAGTTGGACGAGCTGGTATATAATGATGTGCTACGTGGTGGCTAGCGACACAGCTATGTTAGCATAGCATAAACACAGTGAAGCTGGAGGATGAACGCTAACCTTTTTCCACTCGATTAAAGTTAGCGTGAGAGTTCCCGATGGTTAGGGACAAATGCAATTGCATGGCAGGATGCTGTAAACGGACCAAACTCCAGTCAGGAGAACAACTGAGATAATCCATCCACAATACGAGGTTAGTCATTCATATACTGCTGCATGGGCTGGGCTGTAGTTACATCTTAAGGGTTTAAAAACTGAGCTTTAAAAAGACAACACAGAGTAATTTGGGCCTGGAAGCAGGATTCATCACATCATCACTTAAAGATAGCACGTGGGGTCCCACAGGGCTTAGACCTTGGACCTCTTTATAGAAATAAACTAATGACGCCAGTTATGTCTCATTTAGTCCTGAAAAGAAAAAGTCCTCCCTGTACTTCTGTCTGCCTGCCATTAAAAACTCAATCACTTCTTGGAGTTTAACTCAGAAATATGATCAGAAGAAAAACAAGGATTGTAGTCTTATCCATCTTGGACTGCTAAGAACCAAAGTAAAGTAATCTAAACTTTATTCAGATAGAAAATAATTAAATGCCTAATGGAGATTATGGTATTTTCATCTTGCCTTTGGTCTCCAACAAGATTATAAAACATAATACCTCCATTTCTTCCAGCCTCCTGATCAGAGGCCAGAAACTGATAAATGAGCCTAAATTTGAGTTAATGTTCAACTAAAGCTGCCAAGTCACAATCTGAAAAAACCTCAGAATGTCTGCCTTTTATTAACTTAGGCAAAAAGACACAAAGGGACAAAACAAATCTGACATTTGGATTTAATTGGTGAACTTAAAGATGAACAAACTCTTTGTGCTTCAAGTAAGGAGAGAAAAGCGTCAGACGTGACGACAAGAAGGAAAGTAATTTTTCCCTGTCAGTACTTCTTAAAAGCTTCCCTCGTGCAGGCCGATTGCTCTCTTGCTGGAAAAACGAGACTGACTAACTCAAGAGAAGCATATGCCCGCAGACTAATGGGGCTGATTTAGCAGGGCTGGGTAATGGCTGATAGTAAGCAGCTGATGATGAGTGCAGTCAGAGAGAGTGAAGAAACCTAAACGGGGAAACTGGCTCTCAAAGTAATGTCAATAATTTATTATTTGCTTCCCACCCTGTTAGCTAGCTATGTCTCAATTTAAATCAGAAGCTGGATCTGTGATTGTTTTTTGCCTGTATGTGGAGTTGTGTTGGAGTCTCTGTTGTGCTGGTGTTGATTAATATGCTGTTTGTAAGCTAATGCTAGCTAGTGTTGCTCATTGTTGATGCTGGGAAATTAGGAAAGGGAATTGGACGTAAGCGTCAGTGTGACTTTATCAACTTATGACATAGAAATCAGTCCACACGCTATTAAAGCCTAAAGAGAAAGATGGAGAAAATCTTTGAGTTTCATTAGAGTCTGTTCCAACACTGTCAATAAAAAGATATTAACACATTAAAAGTGAGGGTTACTGCACATTTTAATATGCAGGGCAGCAGAGAGAGTGGTGCTTTTGTTGCTAGTAACTTTCCATGTTCCTTGTGATTTCCATTGGAAAACATCAGATGATTGTTGGCAGAGAAATTTGCCAATAAAAGCACCAAGGTCACATGTGCTTAATGCAAATATACACAAACCAATGCCAATTATTAAAAAATGCAAGTGAAAAAAGAAATAGGAGAATTTTCATCCCATGGCTTATTAAGCAGTAAATGAGTCATCAGGTTTAATGAGCCTGTGCCCCAGGGTCCATTTAAATTACCTGGTTGGACGACCAAAATGCCCAAAGGGGTGATGAGATGAGTGTTGATCCCAGGAGGGTCCAGATCAGTGGTGCTGGTGTTTATTACAACAGTGTGCGGTTCTCTGCAATCCATTTACCAACGACTGTCTGTCAACAGAAAAACTGTATTTCAAACCACTGCATTGTT